AGGTGAGAACTGGTGTCACTGGATCCACATCTTGAATGCACCCCATTCGCCTCATCTACTGCATTAAAGATGAATGAAATTTTGCTATTCTGATCAACTTGTACCCCAGTCCAGACCTAGTGTTTTCTCCATATAAGATTGCCCGTCAAGCATATCTGGTCGGAACAGGGCATCAGCTTATTCATCATCATTCCATCAGGTAATAGAAGGTACTAGAAAGGTACAGGAAACGTAAATTTGCTCTCTACAATCCCTTTACCACGACTGGCGCTCAAAATAACCAACTGAGCCCCAGTGACGGCATGGAAACGTAATTTGCTCTCTGCAATCCCTTTACCACGAACTGGCCCTCAAATAACCAACTGAGCCCCAGTGACGGAACGCACTGCTCGTACTGACGACTCTTCGACAACCCACAATCAGTTCTGCTCTTCTTGTGGCCTGTCAGCCAGGTCATGTCCCAAGTTTGTTTTACTATAACACCTAATTGGTTGGTGAAATATACAAATTTGCAGGCCAAATTAATGGGAGACTCAAGGGAATTTCAGCTGAGCCGCTCATCTCAGTCCACTCCGCTCCACTACTCTGAAGTCTGAACACTATCGATTTTCTATGGGCACGTGGGTTCGATCACCTATACAGTAAGTAACATAACCGAAAGGATCTGCGCCTCGCGGTTGGGACGTACTCCAAACCAAGTAACCAGCAAGACATTTCCTCTGCTGTGGTCGCAATCATTAACATGATCAGCACCATCACCGTCGACTGTGGTACACTACGTGGCCACTGGAAAATTCAGCGTCGTCGTACCCGACCACCTGTAAATAAAAACGCTCCGGATTACTCTTCTCTTCCCGTGTGGGTCGCGATTCGTGCTGTGACACAGGCTAACTGATAGTAGGTACGGAGTGTCACTGGGGCAGAGAGAGAATGAAGCTAGATGCAAACCGTACGCGCGTGGTCGTGAAGGTAGTAGGTGGATACCGACTGGAAATCGACGGGTTGTCAATAAACTCAATGCGCTTAGGCGACAGGCCAGTAGAGCACAAGTTCCTGATCATTCCAGGCATGCCACGTTAATAGAGTAGTGGCGATTAACTGCGCTTAAAACTGACCCAACAACCCAATTCGTTACACAGTGGCTCACGGATGGTGTCAGTTCGACTGGTGATGAAAGATAACGAAGCAGATTGTGCGACAACCCAACTTCCGATGATAAAGACTGCCAGAAGTCTTTTTAATATAAAGCCTCATCTACAACTAACATGAATTTAGCTTATCCGGATGGCTTTCAGTCAGCAGCTCCTAAAATGGACATAAACTATGTTGTAAAATATTTTTGAGGACATCAAGTTCAGGATTTCAATAAGTAAGAGAACCAATCTATCCAGGAAAGCCTAGGAGAATTGCGCATCTGACTCATCCCTGTTCGGAACCAATAACATCTCAAGAATCTCAGACGGAATCAGACTTCCCTTTAGTACCTAACAAAAAGCCGGAAAACCGGTTAACTCTGGTTCATGTTATATTAATTATAGGCAGTCTAAAATTGCCCAGCTGTAACGCGCTTCTGGCGCCTAGTTGCCATGCTACCTGAAGGAAGCACGAGGTCTGGCTTACCCCAGGCCAGGTTACCCCATCATGGACGGGGTAAGTTCAGATGCAGAGGTCGGGTTCGAACCACGGACCCTCCAGTCAGTAAAATCGCGCCCTAACCATTTGAGTCACCTGGCCCCCCTATCGGCGACATATATTGGCTATATTGGCAGCTCTGGTGATTTTATTCGGTGTTGCTCAGGTACCTGTTGATCCGTTGTTGGAGTGTGGCTCACGGCTCCACCATTCGAAATAACATCATCGGTGCACCGGACTGCGCACTGATGATGTCATCTCAAATGGTAACGAAGCAGATTTGCAAACTTCTCTTGTCTAGTCACTGATTTTTATTGCGTAGGCGTTCGGTACCTGGTAACCACCTCAGGATTGGGGAGCAGCTGAACAATTTAATATCAAGCAAAGTCGCCGGACTATGACCCTTCCATAAAAAACTCACATGTAGGATGAATTAAACAGTCCTCCACTGAGAATCACATTTAATCACGCAAAAATCTAACTTTAGGGTGGTTATGATCGAGTGAACTACAAGTCGTTACATGGCTGCCGCCTCAGACGAATCGGAAAAAAGGCTTAACACTGGCCAAGGGTGAATGAATTCGATTGAAAGTCACATTTAAATATGGACCAGAACCGACTCCAGGTCTTGTTTAAACTACTTGGGAACAGTAAAGCATGTGGACAAAAAATGATGGAAACCTTTCAGGACTGACTGGGGTGAGGTAATGTGAGTCCTATCGAATTCAGGTATACATAGTAACGGACAGCATGACAGTACTGACTTGTCGTAAGATATCCATGCGAACAGCCCGCCCAAAAGAGGATGGTGGATAGCACGGGAATTGAGCGGGCCAGCGGAATCAACACATTGGTAATTGCAGCGATAAGGAGGGCGAGCGCTATTTGGAAACTGCGTGCATACGCCCATTTGTCTGACGACCAGCCACCAATCAGGGATCCGCAAAACATTCCGACGGCCCTGACTGATAGCGCTGTGCCGATCTCGCGGTACCCCGCGCCAGTTTGGTACATCAGGGTAGGCAGCGTGGGACCGAGTATCTCGCTATATAAACCCTGAAGCCGAGTAGAGTGAGAGTGGAGGCGGTGATTCTATCTGCTACTGGGGTTATGATCCATTTTCCGCAGATTCTAAGCAGGAAACCACCATGCATATTGAAACATATCAAAATGAGTGGTACGGATTCCAATTGAGCATAACACGACTATTAAAACGATATAGTGAGATAATACTGGGTATACCACAATATGCGGTATGGTCCAATAAAAATGGGAATAGAGTGCCTTTTTTGGGAGATTGCTTTAAATAGACAAAACTAACAGTGGGCTCGCAAGAGTGGTGCACTTGGAAAGGTTGTCAATCAAACCCACTGCTCGATGTACTAGCGTTTCCTCGACAGCAGGAACTAAAAAACCTTAGTAAAGTGGAAATAAGGCCGAAGAGCAACATTTTCCGAGTCCCAATAGATTAGATGGTTTGTGGCCAGAATACTCTACTTTAAGATTGAAGATATTTCCCGATAGCAGCATTTTGAAGAACCGGGTGACAGGGTAGCAACTATCACATACCGATATCCCAGGTATCACTGGCAACATGAATGTAGCGTCTTATGCAATCCTTCGAATCAGCCATGAGTATACATACAAATTTATCGACCAACCATGAGTGCTTTGTGCCCTAGCCGTGGTAGTTTATGTAAGACCATCTTTTCTAATTGTCTCCTTCTTCTGCCGCTTTATTCAGGCCATGATAACCGAGGTATGTGATTAGCTGTCATACGACAAGATAAAAAGAGGGGTGAATTGCTTCTCACGAACATTCCAGAAAGGATTCTCGAGCATACAAAATCTAGAGAAGATGAAAGCAAAAATAACATTTGTGAAAGACAGATGCTAATTCAAGGTTAATTCAAGGTTAATTCAAGGTTTAATGGTCTAAAAAGCAATTAACTTTACAAGGACCATAGGGTGAACGTATATACACAAATGAACGCAAAAATATGCGTAATGTTTACTGAGTATCACATGGAGTTAAATAGTTCCAGATTCGGTTTGGACATAAGATGTGCATCTAAATTGTTCTTGAAAATGGTTAAACTCGGCGAATGTACAACATTGGGAGGTAGGGAGTTCCAAATGAAACATACGCGGACCGCAAAAAAGTTCCGTCGACAGTTCACCCTCGAGTGAGGTACCGCGAGCGAAAAGTCATGCCTCCTGCCCGTTCGTGTTCGACGTCGGACAAAAAGGTCTTCCAGC